CTGCCAAGAAAGGTGAAATAGATTTTCCTAAAATTGTTATTCATATATATATATATATATATATATATATATATGGTGGACTCTCATTGGATGGCACCTTTCGTTTCGTTGTACACTCATGTTTGCTAGCAGGGGTCATTGTGGAGAAAATCAGGTAAGGGAAAGACATATTTGATTTGTGCTTTCTTAAGTTTGATACTAACTCAGCCTGGCTGCGGGCAGCAAAGCCACACTGACAGATGAAATTTGTTAAAGCAGGATTTTGATGGTATCTCTGCTTCAGAACTTGACAAAGCTGATCACGGTGCTTCAGTCTCCTGTCTTAAAAACCCTTTACCTTAATGAAACATGTCTTACACCACTCATTTCGGTTTGATACTTGGGCTTCCCAGGTTGTCAGATCAAAGTTGAGACATTTCAAGTTACCTTTCAATTTGTCTTTGTAGTGTAAGAGTGGACGTTCAACTGAACGCTTGGAGTTTGGTAGTTGTCCATACAGCTCCTTATTTGGAAGGTTATTCATTCTCACAACATGACCAACCCGCATTTGCTAGAATGGTTTCAATGCCTGTGATTTTGTTACATTTCTTCAGTATTGTATGGCACGAAGACTGAGCATGTGAAGGGTGTCAATTTGATTTATTTGCTTGATGTACAGGTTCAAAGTTTCAGCACCATGGAAATATATATATATATATATATATATATATATATATATATATATATATATATATATATATATATATATATATATATAATAGTAATCCACAGCCAAACAGTTTTGCAGCTCTTCGGTGTGGCTAGATGTCCGGTTGCCCCTAGCTCCGACTGACACCAATTCAGTCGGGTTTCGATACCCGACTGAATTGGTGTCAGTCGGAGATTCTACCACTAAGCCGTTGGCGCACGGCAGGGATGAAGGTGAATTTTAGAGTATTTATTTTTAGATAGACAAACACAGTGACCGACAGTGACTCAATTCGATTTTGCCAAAGAGTCTCGCTATATCAGCCATAATAATCACTGTTTACAAACCCACACTTCTTCCCCAGAGAGCTCAACTGAAATTAATTTTTCAGGAGCCTATATATATATATATATATATATATATATATATATATATTTAAATGATTGTATTAATTACCTAGGGTCCACTCCATGCTCATCAATCTTGATGAATCCATTTTTGGTTAATTAGGCCTTATCTACTAATTAAAAGATAAAATTAAAAATCCTTTAATCTTTATAAAAAAAAATGAATATTAACAGCAGATCACAAATAGACCAGAAACATTTTTTGCCAAGTTTTGGGGCCAAATGCGAGATGAAAGTCGGGAACACTAGAACCAAGAAGACGTGGCTGTTAAATATCTGGGAAGCATCTTGACAGAGGACGATAAGTGCGACACTGAGATCCCTAGGTGTATTGGGATGGCCAAGGGCGCATTTCAAAAGCTGGGCAGAGTACTGCGAGACAGGAGGATTTCTTTGGTAACAAAGATGTTATAAAGGAATAAAGTGTTGCTGCTGACAGTTGAATTTGAATATAGAAACTAAAAACTCTCCTACAAACTCTCCTATATAAGGTAAGGTATATATAAGGTAACGATGGAGAGCAAGAAGGAGGGACTAAGTATAAACTAGAAGAAGACAGAATGCATGGCCATCAGTAAGAGGATGAACCCGTAATGCGATTTGAAGTTTGGGAACACTACAATCAAACAGACGTGGAAGTTTAAATATCTGGGAAGCCTCTTGACAGAGGATGGTAAGTGCGACACTGAGATCTATAGGCGTATTGATATGGTCAAGGACGCATTCCAAAAGAGAGACAGAGGGATATCTTTGATAACAAAGAAAAGAATACTGAACTGTTACGTGATATCTGTCCTTTACGGCAGCGAATGTTGGATGAATTCCTCAAAGATGACGAAGTAACTCGAGGCAACAGAGATGTGGTTCTACAGAAGGATGCTAAGGATATAAGGGATCGAGTGTGTGAGTAATGGTGAGATCGTAGGTTGCAAACAAGGAGGAGGCTTATACTTAATATCCGGAAGAGACAGCTGAAGTTTCTGGGTCACATCATGAGGAAGGAGTGCCTGAAGGATCTGATATTCAGGGGTCGAATAGAGGGAAAGATAGTCAAGGGAAAACAATGCGTGACATACCTAGCGGCCTTAAGTAAGTGGATAACAGATTGTAGTATGGAGGAGGAAGCAGAGGGAAGAAATTTGCTGCAAGGGATAGAAGGAGGTGGAGAGCCATGATCGCCTATGTCCTGAAAGGAAATGACACATAAAAAGAAAGACGGCCTGGAGAATCTGATACTCACGAGTCGAATAGATGGAAAGAGAGACAAGAGAAAACAATGCATGACATACCTGGCGGGCTTAAGCAAGTGGATGACAGAACATGGTCTGGGGGAGGAAGTAGAGGAAAGGAACGTTGTGTGCTGCAAGGGATAGAGGGAGGTGGAGAGCCATGATCGCCTATGTTCTGAAAGGAATGTCATATAAAAAGAAAAGAAACTTTGGAGAAAAAAAAAAACTTGGTAAAAAAGTCAAATAACATCTGCACAACAAAGAACACTTGCTGAGAAAATATTACCAGGGCTGCGAAAAGGACATCGTAAAAGAGAAACGAATCCATGACAAAATTAATCCCCCTAAAATGTATTATGAGAACAGATTTAAAAAGTACTAGCTCTAGGTTAAGATGATAGTTGTAACATTGCAGCCTTGACAGAGTTCAAAATCATGTATATTTTCTTATGGGGTGGAGGAAACTAATTCTCCATTCAAACTTTCGACCAGGGGAATCAATCCCAAATTCGTTGTTTACAAAAAATGAAATTTTTCCTTTACAACTTGCATTTTCAGCTGCCTAAAACATGTCTATCATCATTGCCCCTTAAGTCTGGGTCACTTTATCATTGTTCAAACTGCTTGACATACAATTCAAGTCATTTATGTGTGAATTAAATCCTCAATTCCTCCCACAGGTTTTTGGTATTAACTCTTCTCATTTCAATGTCTCTCAGCACTTAATTGATAAGAAAACTTTCTTAGGTTTTATCTCACCACGGTAACAACAAATAGTATCACACATAGCTCTAAGCAATATTTCTCTGTTTAAAAATAAAGAAATATAAGCTGAGTCCAGCAGGCTTCCTTAATTCTGCTAAAAACTTCCTCTTTCAATGGCTGCACAACTTCAGGATGTGGGTGTTGATGACTCTCCACAACTTTCTATCCTTCATAACTCTAAAGCAATATTTTTCTGTTAGTGTTATTAAGAATTACAGAAGTATAAATCCGTTAAACATACCTTCCTAAATTCTGATTTCTTTCATGTGCCTTACCCTATCAGACTGTTTGTGATCATGGCTCTCCACAACTTCCAATCATTCGTGGCTCTGAGCAATATTTCTCTATTAATGGTATTTAAAAATGCTCATTTAAGCAAATTTCCTATATCTCCTATCAAAACTTTCTTTTTCTATATATGACCCTTGATCATGGCTCTCCACAACTTCCTATGCTCGGAATAATGTTGCTCAATTAGTGGTATTGAGAATTATAGAAGTATAAATTCAGTTGAACAGGCTTTCTTAAATTCTGCTATTAAGGATTCCTCTCTGTTCCATGTCACATCAGAACACGTGCAATCATGGCTCTCCACAACATCCTATCCTTTGTAGAGCAAAAAAATTCCCAATTAGTGGTATTAAGAATTACAGAGGTATAAAATCAGTTAAACAGGATTTCTTAAATTCTGCTATTAAGACTTCCCATCTGTGCCGTGTGCCATCAGAACACGTGCAATCATGGCTCTCCACAACTTCCTATCCTTTATAGCCCTGAGTAATATTTCCCTAGTAATGGTATTTAAAAATATAAAAGTATAAGTTCAGTTAAGTTTTATACTAACAGTTTCTTTCTCCCACTTCTCGCTTGTGGAAATATCTCCCGGCTCCTTGCTTTCCTGTAGACTACGTTCCTCATTAATTTAAATGTAACGTCAATCACCATCTTTTATCTGTTTAAACCCAGTAGTTTTATGGCCCACTGTCACATTTGTCGCTTTCAGTAACCACTTGCCTCTTAAGGGCTTTTCTCGTCTTGTTTGTGGCGAAATGATTACACACACACACACACACACACACACACACACACACACACACACACACACACACACATATATATATATATATATATATATATATTTGATATGGTTGATATGGCTCTCTACAACTTTCTAATTTCTCAATTAGTGGTATTAAATATTACAGAAGTAAAAAATCAGTTAAACAGGCCTTCTTAAGTTTCTGCTATTAAGAGTTCCACTATATGCCATGTTTCATCAAAATATGTGCGATCATGGCTCTCCACAACTTCATATCCTTTATAGTCCTGGGCAATATTTCTCTAATAATGGTATTTTAAAATACAAAAGTTACGTTAAATAGTATTTCTTTACTCTGTTATTAAGACTTACACTTTCCATCAGGACGTGGCGATGATGGCACTCCACATCTTCCTATCTTTCGTTGTGCTAAGCATTGTTCATGTATTATTATTATTATTATTAAACACAGAAGAATAAGCTCAGTTAATCAGGTGCCCTTAATTCTGCTACCAAAACAAGAATCAAAAATACACCTACCTATGCCACTAGAATTCCATGATTGTTATTAAAGATGCATTTTATGTCTTCATAAAAATATGAGATTTTTCTTCGTGCCTTGCGAAGAAATAAAATCTTTGTTTATCAGAAGGTAGAAGAAAAAAAAGGAAAGCTCGTACCAGTTGTTTGCATCTTGTTTAGAATCGAGGAAAAAATAAAGTTTATATCAGAGAAAAAAATATTTTCTTGCCATAAAAAGCGAGCTTGAAATGTCTAAATCCCTTCTGTCAAATGATTGCACAGATGCTTGACTTACTGCCTCTATTCTGTCACTAGGGTCTGTTAATATTATTTTTTACGAGGAAAATGACCTCGGGTAATATGACGGTTTGTAAGAAGGCGAAAATGAAAAAGGAAAAAGGTGATAGCAACCGGAAGAACTTGCATTGATTGAGTTTTAAGTAAAGATCGTCTTTTGGCTTTTGAGAAACATTTTCCATGAATTGATTTTCATTGAATAAGAATCCTTTTCAGCTATTGTTCATTTAGTCGAATGTAATAATATGGGAATCGTTTCCTGGTTGAACTGCACAGAACAAGATGACACTCCCACCGAAAAAAACAGAAAAATAGATTGAAACGTTTAATAATAATAATAATAATAATAAATACTTTGGATGTCCTTGTGGTGCAATACGGTTTCAACATCGTTAATTTGGCCATAGCTGACATTAAGCGAATGGATGTCAAAACAAGAACGCATCTCATCCTAAGGCTGATGTTAATCAGCTGTATGTGCCCAGATCCGAAGGAGGCAGAGGATTAGTTCAACTAGAACTGTCTTTCAGAACCACAAGAATCGGTTTTCAACGATACCTGAAAACTACAGAAGACTGGATGATAGTCTATACCAAAGAACCTGAAAGGAATAAGAAACTTTATTGTATAATAAAGGAAGCCAACAAATTCAGAATGGAATTTCAAGTGGTTAAAGGGGCGCAAATAAACCATAATGCACATAATGCAGAACCTTAAAAAGAAAGCTAAAGCAAATGCAATGCACCAAATGCAGAAACGATGGTAAAATAAACATCTTCATGGACAATACTCTACTCGTACAAAACAACTTGATGTAGACAAATCACAAAGCCCATCCGTGATTACGTAGTTCAGGGTTAAAAGCTGAAACCAAAGGTTTTATTCTTGCTGCACAGGACATTTCCAAGCACACATACTAAAAATGCAGATCCTGTGATAAATATCCAGAAACAATTGAGCATTTTCTATCAGGTTTCACGGTGTTTGCACCCATAGAATATAAATCTCGGCCTGAGAGTGTAGGTCAATATCTGCCCTGGAAAATTTGGAACTGCAACAAATTGGTATGAACATCACGCAGAAATGGTTACAGACGGAGGACCTGTACCGATTTTATGGATCTTTAGAATGCATACAGACAGGACAATCAAAGCTAATCAGGCAGACATCGTGATCAAAGACCACAAAAACAGAATGTGCTTTCTTATTGATATGGCAATTCCTGCAGTTTTTTTTTATCTATATTTGAAAAGCTTCGAAAACTATCAAAATACAAGAATCTTGAAATGGAAATCTCCAAAATGTTGCCCGTGATGACAGCAATAATTCCAGTTGTAGTTGGAGCCTTCAAATTGATTGGAAAAGGTTCCAATAAACTCATTGAAGATATTCCTGGTAGTCCATACCTTAAAGAAATACAAATATTGTGCCCACAAGTATAAGTAACACGTTATAAAGAGCTTTATCTATGTAAAATGTGTATAATGTTAGTATTTCTTTGAATGCTCAGTGGCAAATAGTGTCATTTCTGATTTGGTTGTGACCCGGAAAGAAATCTGTATACAACATAATTCAAAGGAAACAATAATAATAATAATGATAATAAATAAATAATCTTTCCCATAATCCCCCAGTGACAAACATATATAGTGATCTTTAGAAGTAGTCTGTTAAATAGCATTGCAATCTATACTCGCTACAGCTATGAATCAAATCAGGCACATACTGGGTGGGTGATGCCCGATCTTAATTTTCCAGCCTTAATAAATTGCAAAGCACCTAAACGAGACATCAGATGATGCTCGCTACTCTATTGCTTTTTCCATATGAAATTTTCTGACAAGCAACATTCATTTCTTCCACCATTCAAGCCTCCATAGCTAAGACCGACCATGACACATATACAGCGAAAAATCATTTCCCAATTAACTTTGTATTCTATTAGTACCGAGGGAGTTCCATTCTGATAGCTTCTTTCCAAGAACTGCTACATCAGCTAACAGACTCCCTTGATCACTACAATCTTCAGATCTACTGCCAACTTTTATATATCCTATATATCCTAACGTCCTGCTCTTATGTTCCAACAACGACATCAATTCATAACCCTCTGCCTTGAGTGGTTCTTGAACCTTGTATTATTTAAATAACTAGCAGTATATATATATATATATATATATATATATATATATATATATATATATAAATATGAAAATTTCTCCGATTTAACCAGTAGAGAAGACAATATTTATGAATAAAAAATGACAATAGAAACTAGTAATTGCTGACGTGTTTCGTCAGCAATTACTAGTTTTCCTAAAGTCCGCATTGGATGAAAAGCGTCAGCAATTACTACATTTCCTGTTGTCATATTTATTCATATGCATATATATATATATATATATATATATATATATATATATATATATATATATATATATATATATATATATATATGGCGTATCGAAAATAACTTTACAAAAGTATATAATATGAAAATATGTCAGCAAATCCTTCGTTTTTGCTTTACTAAGTTAAAATAAAGTTTATGGTATATATATATATATATATATATATATATATATATAGTGAGAATGTGCTGCGTTTGAGGGGAGTCTGCGGAAGTCCAAAAATCGAGCTAGCCGTGAGCTTGCAATCTCTCAATCCAATATCTGGCGTGTGCTAAGAAGACGTTTACATTTGAATCCTTACAGACAAAGCTTTGTTCCGGCACTTACCAAGACCTTGCTCTTTGTGCTTGGCCTGCGAGATCAACCAGACTTCACCGTGTGTGATTTTTTTCTTGTGGTGATACATAAAAGATTGTGTCTATGTTCCAACCCTACCCACTAACCTCGATGACCTTAAACATCGAATAACAACAGTAATCAACTCAATGGATTGTGATTTGCTGATATGCTTCTGAGAGGAATTCTTTCATCACATTGATGTTGCCCGTGTTGCAAGTGGTGGCCACATTGTAAGACAGGAAATAAAAGTTGATTCTGAGTAGAATACGTGTGAATTAGCTGAAGTTTTCTATTGCTTTTACTTATTAAATTATTGCATAATGAAATCGGTTCATTCTTTTTGAATAACCTATATATATATATATATATATATATATATATATATATATATATATATATATATATATATTGTCATCCACAGACAGACTGTTTCGCTGTATCACAGCTTTTCAGTGTGGCTAGACGTCCGGTTGCCTCAAACGAGGTTTGAAAGCCGGCTGAATTGGCGTCAGTCGGAGATTCTACCACTAAGCCGTTGGCGCACGGCAGGGACTAAAGTCAATTTTAGTGTATTTATTTTTAGATAAACGTACAATTTAAAAATTAACTGTTAAAGCTGTTATGTTGTATTAGGTTTTTATCTAAGGGAGGTAACTTTAATTTACATAACTATTTTTTTCTAATTCCAATTTAAGTATTTTAAATATATTATTATATATACATATGTGTGTATGTATCTATCAAAATACATTAAAAGGAGAGTGAGATAAATACATATGCACAAACGACGAGGAGCTGAAAAGTACTTGATCTTCAAATCAGTATTTTATTGATCAAATTCAGTCTATACAGTGAGGCGATTGAGAGTGAACTGGAAATCCTACAGGATTCATTATCGGAGGCCACTATCTTAACGATGTAAGATATGAAAATGATGCAGTGTTGATATCAGGCACAGAAAGTAAGGTACAAAAACTGCTACAGAGGATAGTGAAAGAAAAGCTGGAAGAAAGGATACTAAACATCAACTGCAAGAAGACAGAATGCATAGTTGTTAAGAAATAGATGAACTCAAAGTGCATATGGTAAATCGGAAATACCAAATATCTGGGAAGTGTTTTAACAGAGGACGGGACGTGTGACAGTGAAATCCGAAAGGCATATTAGAATATTGTATTGTATTGATGCGGCATTCACCCTGGGCGGATTGAGCCGGCTTCTTCCTGTTATGAGAAGAAGATTCTTGGGATAAATTACAGAAGTAGGGTACCCAGGCCTACTCGGATAACGTTCTTGCTTGCCGCGGGGTTCCCACAGACGCTTACCGGTTACCGATGCAGACGCTCCTTGGATTTTCACCAGAGCCCTTGTTAGCCGGCGTGTGTGTCAGACCTGTCCGCCTTGGGTGGCCCTACCAGGAACGAAGTTCCGGACGGCATAGCTCTGACACTACCGTTTACACCCCTCCCACCGACTGTGAGGTAAGGGTTGGACTTTGGGGGCTTACAGTACCAGGTGTTCCCAAGCGGTCCCCCATCTAAGTACTGACCTGGCTCTACGATGCTTAACTTCGGTGATCGAACGAGAACCGGTGTTTCAGCGTGATTTAACCGTAAGCTATATTAGAATAGACAAAGACGCATCCCAAAAGCTAAGCAGAGTAACGAGAAATAGAAAAAATATTGCTGGAAATAAGGAAAAGAGTGTTAAACTCTTACGTGATAGCTGTCCTCATGTATGCCAGTGAGTGCTGGACAATTTCCTCAAAGACAAAGAAGAAAGATGAGAATACCATAGACCGAACATGAGAGCAACGACGAACGTTGAAAGAAAATGGAAGCAAAAACGAAACTTATACTTAATATCAGGAGGAGACAGTTGAGGCTTCGAGGCTATATACTGAGGAAAGAGGGCTTGGAAAATCTGATACTCACAGTACAGATTGAAAACAAGTGAGACAGAGGTAAACAGCGCATGACATTCTTGGATGGCGGAACAGAGTTCAGGAGAAATAACAGAAAGATAAAATTTATTAAAAGCTTCAAGGGGCAGGAAGTTGTGGAGAGCCATGATCGCCTTCGTCCTGAGGGACACGGAATATAAAGAAAATGAATGTTAGTTGTATTTAAGAGAAAGATTAAAACAAGATTTTACAATTGTAATTAAAAAATCAGTGAAGAACTGAAATTTCCCAAAAAAATTTAAATTTAACATTTAAATCATTTTGTTGGATTTAGCACCCCAAACCAAATACAGGAATAGAGGCCAAGATCCTGATCATCTGAGAAATACAAGGAAAGTTATATCAAAATCAAAATATAGAAAAAAATTTTAACGTATAAAAGAAGTGGATTTAATTCCCGTGTTTATTTATCATGT